AACTTAGCTCAGAAACCGATGACAATACAATATGAAAGAGGAATTAATCCGTTAGGTGGCGCAGGTGTCGAGACATTTGAAGAACCCGTATTTATGGTTCCTTACGGTTCATATTTGGATTGAATATTACTTACATGAAAAGGAATAACACCACAACAAATGTTGCCCGATATATGGCTTAGTAGTTGAGATATTTGGGCTAAGTGTGCAGTTATTTCTAATATTTTTCCTAGAGGGTATTACATTACTTCACAGCGTGTCATAATTTATTCAATGTTTAAGACAAACTTCATAATCATAATTCACATGCTATTTTATATGTATCAGCTATTAAAATTACTCATTATAAATAAAATTTCAATTCAATACACCAGCATACAAAAGTTTCTAGAAAATACATACATATGTATTTGCATTTTTTAACTATATGTAGTCATACATATGTTAATTAGCTGCACAGCGTGATTTTCATACAGAGAACAGCTAAATATTTCCAAAAAACATACAGATTTGCAGTTGAAGTTATTGAGTAGGACGGTTCACAACTCCTATAGGCTTTTGCTGATAATTTTGTGGTGAGAGTAGCAGTCTCTTCATACGGCCTTTTAAAAGACGGGGGCGTACTGCATACTTGTGTACCTCATTTGTTAAGTTAAGTATCCAGCTCTCAGGAAAAGCAAAAACTTCGTATAAAAAACGCTAAAGAAATGACGAAGAAATTTTTTTTGTTAAATTTCCTTAAGGCAGTACGCAATTCATAAGAAATTTGCTACGCTTTCTACTACGGTTTTCTAAAGTTTTTTTTTGTGTAAAAAGAGCACAATACAACCCATGTATGCAACCGAAATATATGCCCGTTCCATTATTTCGTGAGGCAAGAGTGAGACAACAGGCTGTGAAATATCAGATGTCAAAATTCCTTGGACACACACACGAAATAGTGGCAATATAAATAAAAGTTTCAAACTTTGAGAACATAATTTAGAAAAATTCATCAAATTTTCATCAAAACTTCAAATTTTGTAATTAAAATTTTTTAGGAAAATGTCGAGTATGCTGTTTTATAGCCCATTTAATTTTAGTATAATAAAGTGCACGTTTCAAGGACCTCAAAATTCTGGTTGATTTTTGACAGTATCTTTCCTTACGATGCTGATAATGATTGAAAACATTAAAATACAAATAAGTAAAACATAATTTACAAACATGAAAAAAAAATTATAAAAAATATAAATTAAATTTATAAAAAACATAATTACAAACAAAAGAGAAAATATAAACTAAAAACGAATATTAAAAAAAAACTAAACAACTAAACTAAAACCAAAAACTAAATATTTTTAATAATATTTTAAAAAGGTAAAAAATAACTAAAAAAGATAAAAAAAAAATTTTAAAATAAAAAAAAAAGAAAACTAAAAAAAAAAACCAAAAAAAAAAAAAAAAAAAAAAAAAAAAAATTGTATAAGAACAAAAAATTAAATGAAACAGAAAAAAATCAAACAAAAAAGGAATAAGAAATCAAATAAAATAAAAAGAAATCAATTAAAACAAATAAAAAAAAACCAAAAAGAAAAAAAAAACAAAAACAAATAAAAGTTAAAAAAGGAAAATGAATTTAAGAAAAAAAAAAAATTTAAAAATTATGATTTAAAAATAAAAGCAAATAAGTAAAAAAGAAAAAATAAAAAAAATAATATAGGAAGGTGATTGGCATCCATTCAAATTCTCTTAAACCTTCGACTTGCTTTGATTTGTTTAAACAGTTTAGAGAAGTTCAACCCAAAGCTTTTTTGCTTCAAATATGTACATATATTGTTCCACGACTTTCATAAGCTCTAAGCGTAGATACGAGTTTGTCAACGACGTTTTTCCGCGTTTTACAGCCGCTTTCTTCACGATCCATTTAAGTGAATAAAGATAACATACGCTGGGGAGTTGAGGGTTAAGTTCAAAAAAAAAAAAAATTATTTTCACTTAAATTGCTTTACTACTACAAAGTGGAGCAAAATTAATTATCCAATGTTGTTTTTGAATAACTTTTTTACTAAATAAAACGAACTATTTTGAGTGATGGAAATCTTTTTTTGAGCCTTTAACATTTTTTCTGTTAAGTGGAAAAGATGATATCCGATGATATATTTTCGGACTTTCCGCAAGATTTCCAGTGATAACTGTTCGCTTTCAAGTAGCCCCAAAGAAAGAAGTGATTAAGAAGAAGGCTGATTAATTTTGCGCCACCCTGTATTTCCTATTATACTTATGTACATATATATCTTTTCTTGAGTTCTACCTTTTCATAATTTTTAGAAACATTGATTACCTTTGAACAACAACTAAATAATTTGCCAATTAGTTGACTGATCTCGTTGCCAAAAACAAAAAAAAAGAAACAGCGAGCGTTTGGCGATGAATGAGCGGCATTAAAAAGCTAAAATGAAAATTTCAGTTCGAATAAAATCTTTACAAACCAATGAATGCCAAACTAAATAAATATAAATATATTTAGCATGAAAAGTGTCATTGACTTTCTAAAATATCCACGCGTTATAAATATTTTCATTCTTGGGGCCATGTATGTATGTACGTATGTATGTATGTACAAACAACAAAAAGGCCAATGTGCGCTCATACGCATGAGATTCACAAAATTTTTTTAATGAATCAAATTTAGTTAATGAATGAATTAAAACAAAAAAAAAAACAGAATAGTGAAGTGTTTGTGTTCAAGTCTCTCATTACCGTCTGGCAGTCGTTCAATTTCGTCCACAAATAAAACGCAAATATACAATACTTTTTAGTGCATCATAAAAAAAAAAAATTCTGCCCAGTTAGTGAGATGTTTTCTAAAAATTGTTTGTTGTGGTCAACCTTGTAACAATTTACACACGCGTCTAGTATACAATGTATTATGTTGGCACCTCGCTTTATTTATGTACATACATATGTACGTACTTAGTTACATTCGTGTGTACTTTTTATTTTCGGCTTTAGTTTTGTGCAAATTTTCTCAATGAATAATTGTTTTATAAATACAGCATACAATTGCTTGTGGTGTTTACGAAACATTCGATTCGATATTGAATGATATTGGAATTTTCGAATTTTATTCAGGAGCTTTTGAGATGAAAATACATACCTAGAGGGAAAGTAGTATTAGGTTTAGGTTTGATAAAATGGGGTTAAATTGAGGTATTTCCACAACAAGGTTTTTTTTTTTTCATTAACTTAACCAGACAACAACAAACGACGTACTGAGAAAATTTTTAGATGAAACAAAACCGCTGTAAAAATTCGGCCTCAAACAGTGTGACATGACACCAGTGCTCATTTACTCCCATATAAAAAAATGTTCGTACATATTTTGTATCGAGAAAAAGCGTAACACCTTCAGCAAATAAAATTTCAAAAATCAACTCGAATTCTTAGCTGCTTGAAATTTGCCAATAGTGAATAGGCTATAAAACTGCAAACCAAAATTTTTTTTCTAGAACTTCCGATTCAAAAGTTTGAAATTTTCATGATTTTTTTTTTTGAAATTTGGCAATTTTTTTATAAATCTTGTACAAGGTCTGAAACTTTGAGTTGCATGGTTTTCCTAGTAGTATAAACTATATTTTTATGACAAAAAAAAAATTAAAAATAAATGATCAAAGGTAGTGTCTCTAATTATGTGGCCATCACTGTATATACTTGTATGGTAAGTTTATTGCCATGCATACCGTTTTCTACCTCCGGTCTGGAATCCACGTGAAGTAAAATTGAGCTACATACATATGTATTTCTTATAGAGATCGGCTTTATAACGATTCGGTTACCAGATTCTTCACTCCCCACAGTGTTCTATTTTTGAAAAAAAAAAATCAAATATCTCTAGAACGAGAAGAGATAGTGAAAGAAATCTACCTTGAAATATAGGTTTGGAATTTTTGCTATATTGTACTGAAATCAGTCTGCAATAAGTTTTAAATACATATTTTTGTGTTCTGGTGTCAAGTGATCCATTTACTTGGTTACGAAAAAAAAAATGCATTCATTTTTTGCCAAGTTCATCGCATGCGGTTTTTAGGTCGAAAAACAAAAAATTTCGTTCAAAAAATGTCCTTCAAAAGTAAAATTTTTGTTTATTTGCCTTTTTACCTAAAACAGCTTTTGTAATGAATTAAAAAAGAAATTAAATGCGTTGTTTGGTTCTTGCAACCACGGAAATGGATATACTAGTTTCAGCACAAAAAGGAAAAAAAATAAAGCCTTCGATATTTGAAGGCCATTTTGAAGATCAGAAGAGATTATCATTCCATCTCAAAAGCTTTAAAATACCAGTAGATTTATTTCGCTTTGCTTCTCGTTCTTGAGATATTTTGTTCCTTTTTTTCTAAAATAGAACACTGTGCGCCCTTCGTAATACAAAGGTGAAGCCTTAGCCTGAGAAAAGCTGATTGATATTTTAAGCTGGAGTGGCGTATTTTTGTTGGACTATTTCTTGCTTGAAATTCTTATAATCAAGTTTCTTGCAGACCCAAAGAACTTACCATAACGTTCTGTAATTCCCAGGATAAAGCTAAACATTTTACTAGGGTTCTCTAATTCGACTAAGACTGAGGTTCCACTGATCACAAAACGTCTCTGTTAAGCAAAGCTCGACATATCTTGTCATCTTAATTTTTTCACGTCTGGTAGGTTCTTGAGATCTCTCATTGGAGGTACATATGTGACTAAGTTAATCTGGTAATTCATGTCTCTACTCTACGATCGCTTAATTTACAGCTGGCTTCACATATTCGAAAGAGTTTTGTTATTATTTTAGCGTCAGCTACTCATGTACATATATCTCCTCTGTCATTTTTGTAAAAGCAGAAGTTAGTTTCTTTCGCTGTTAGAAAATGGTTTGTGTTGTCTTTTTGGGCCGGATTTTTTCTCTTTGTTATTTTTATTTTTTTGCCGGTCGCTTACCAACTTATAAAATTTATTGTGTGCACATAAAACTTTGCTACTTTCAGAGTTTTGATATACACAAAGATGGAGCGCAATCCTAGAGAGAGAATACGCCATCCGCCTGGCCTACGCGGCCGTGCGATTGGCCTCTTTTACCGTAATCTATCGAAGAGGAAGCGTCCTAAGCCGGAAACGCCAGCTATTCGACTGGGACCGTGCGTGAGTGTGCCACAAACTGTGCTGGCGAAGGTGGAAGAAAGCTTACGGAAATTTGAGCAAAGTTGCGAAGATGAGCAAGTTTTGAAAGATTTTGAAGCACAATTTCGACATTTACTGTGCGCCGATTTTGAGGAATTCATTTTGAGTACAAAATCGTCCAACTATGAACTGATGAACAATGAATTACAGAATCAACGCTACAAATCGGAGGTTTTGGCCAAGGAACGTGATACAGACTTTCAGCAACGATATGAGCAGCGCCTCAAATTGCCCGCCATGAAGCAAAATGAACGTATATTGGAAGCGATCAAGGCAAATCAAGTATTGCTGATCGTTGGCAGTACGGGTTGTGGTAAGACTACGCAGGTGCCACAACTAATTTTGGATGATTACATCTTCAATAATCGTGGCTCACAGTGTCATGTGGTGTGCACGCAGCCGCGTCGTATTTCGGCGGTTACGGTTGCTGAGCGCGTGGCCTACGAAAGGTTGGAGAAATTGGGCGTATCGGTGGGCTATCAAATACGCTTGGAAAGCGAAATGCCGCGTGATAGTGGCTCCATTTTGTATTGCACCACGGGGGTGCTTTTGCAAAAGTTGCAGTCCGATCCGCTGATGAGCGCAGTGAGCGCGGTAATTATCGACGAGATACACGAACGTGGCGTGGAGACCGACTTGTTGTTGGCGTTGTTCAAGTTTATATTGCCACATCGACCCGAATTGAAGGTTATACTCATGAGTGCTACTGTCTCAGAGCACGAATTCAGCGCTTACTTCAATAATTGCTGTACGATAAACATTGAAGGCACCATGTTTCCGGTTAAGGTGAATTACCTTGAAGATATTATACAAGAAACTGGTTACACACGTTTTCGCAACAATCCACACGAGTTCGCGAGGAATAAGCCACGACATCAAGCCAATCAACTTGACCGCCAGAGCGCTGCAAATTTCGATTACAACGCAATGATTGAACCATATCTGCGACATATCAGAAACCAATACGATGCACAGGTGTTACAGGCATTGCGTTGCACCGACTCGGAGGGTTGCGAGAATCTACAATTTCTAGAGCATTTAATTTTCTACATTTGTGATACAAAACCACCTGGCGCGATTTTGGTTTTCTTGCCAGGCTACGATAAGATCTCCAAATTGAATACCATACTGCAAAATCCCACCTCACTGGTTGGTCAGCGTTATTCGCGTAAGATACAGGTGTATCCGTTGCATTCGATGATGCCAACCATGTTCCAAAAGAATGTGTTCCAACCGCCACCGCCCGGCATGCGCAAGGTTATACTCTCCACCACAGTGGCTGAGACTTCCGTCACAATTGACGATGTTGTCTATGTGATTAACAGCGGACGCATGAAGACGAATAATTATAATGTGGAAGCCAATTTGCAGATGCTCGAAGAGACTTGGGTGACAAAAGCCAATACACAGCAACGCAAAGGTCGTGCTGGTCGCGTGCAACCAGGCATTTGCTATAATCTCTTTAGTCGCGCGCGTGAGCGAACAATGATCGACCAAATAGTGCCCGAAATATTGCGCTGCAAATTGGAATCCACAATATTAAATTTGAAAATGTTGCATGTAAAAGATGTACATCACTTTTTGAGTACGCTGATATCGCCGCCCGACAAGCAGGCTATTGTAAATGGCATTAATTTGCTGAAACGCATCAATGCGCTGGACGTCGAAGGCACGTTAACACCACTGGGAATGCATTTGGCACGTTTGCCCGTCGATCCACAAATTGGCAAAATGCTTGTAATGTCGGCACTGTTTCGCTGCTTGGATCCTATCAGCTCGGTAGCTGCGGGACTCTCATTCAAGTCGCCCTTTTATGTACCGCTCGGCAAGGAGAAAGATGTTGATCGCATCAGACGTCATCTCTCGGCCAACCAGCGCAGTGATCATCTGATGATCGACAATGTGGTGCTCAATTATCGTGAAGCACTGGAGGATAATTGTGAACGCGATTTTTGCTATAACAACTTTTTAAGTCTCGGCACTCTGCAACAGTTGGAGCAGATGAAGAAACAATTTGCTAGTTTACTACGCGCATCCAGCTTCACAGATTCTGGCCATTGCAGTGCCAAATCTTCAAATGAAAATTCCAGGAATATTCCTCTATTACGGGCCATTATCGCCGCTGGTCTCTACCCGAATATGGCATTTTTGAGCAAGGTGCGTCGCACTAGAAATCACGTCAATGCCATACAGCATCTCACCACACCAGAAGAGCGTCGCGTCAATTTCCACCCCTGCTCGGTGAATAGCAATGAGGCCTCATTTGATTCTCACTATTTCGTCTACTTCCAAAAGCAGAAATCGAGTAGTCTTTATCTGCTGGATGCTACCATGGTCTTTCCCATGGCCTTAATCATATTTGGTGATGGTGTCGAGACGGGCTATACCGAAAATAAAATATTTTACATTTCAGTAGCACGCAC